TTGGTGTGAGAAGTGTTGTAGATGTAGATGCTGTCATCTGTCATGAAGAAAAAATTTAAAATTTGACAAAACACCGCTAAGGTGCAGATGTAGTACTGAGTGCCGGGTATAAAAGTTGTGACGCGTAAAAAGCGTCTCACACTTCCCTTCTCGTTTTTTTTGGCTTGCTTGAGGCGTTAAGGCGTCTTGACCCAAACACATTGTGGGTTTAGCGTACGTTTTGAAAACTATTAAGCTTTGAAGTTATTTATTGAGTTAGTTATTAGTTTTTAGTTTTTATTGTTAATATTAGTTATTGAGTTATTTTTTACGAAATTTCCACTTTAAAAACTCAGGAAAAATCTAAAAAATTAAATCCTGTGCTCTTATGTTTTGTGTATAGGTGCATCAATTCGGAGTCGTTTAAAGTACTGCTCATCAAAAGCTTTGGAGAGTCGGCTGATGGATGCATTTATTAGCTTTATAGATTTACTTAGTTCATTAAAACCAGATGTAAGATCTATAATTTATGTGGAAAAGAAAATGGCACCTCTAACAAAAGCGTGAAACAAAAATACCAGATTTTAAAAATTGTTAAAAAAATATTCTACGATAGAAAAAGAAAACATAGTTCTTGAGTTCCTTGAGGTTTCGGGTAGTCGAATACTATCTATTCGACCGGAAAATTCCTAGAGTCTATGCATGCAAAGCAATAAGCACGCATTTTGAATTGTTACCTCAGATTGTCCGACGAGCTTGCACGAATTGAATAGAGCCCTGTACCCTTTGAGTAACAGGCATAGTATTCCGCCATTCTAAGTTAGTATTCAAATCTAAAAACAAAACTAGTTGTAATTAAGTCCTTTTTATTCATATTTAATAATATTTTTTTAAATGTTAGCAAAACAATGCAAAAATTATAAGAAACATATTTATAAACTATAATGGTTTGGATTTGTGCTAATTTGATAAAAAAGTGCCTGTTTGATACATTTATTCGTGCTTGCAAATGATGCCTGCCAAGTATTTACGCGTGTAGAGATATCTTCTTTCGAATATTTTAATATATCCCATACATAAATACAAGCAATTGTAATGTTAACATCTCTGCAAACAGGAATTATAGTTACTTAATATTTAAAAATTTTGCTTATTTAATTGATTTTGGGATGGGGTTTCAGCTTCTGCCGATTATTCTTTCACGAAGTTTATGTCCATCACAAAACAATAGTTCAAGGGGCAAGTATGGGCTGATTTCTTGTATGTTCATATGTATGTATGTATGTATGTATGTACATATGTATGTATGTATGTACATATGTATGTATGTATGTACATATGTATGTATGTATGTATTGTTGTCTACTCGACAAAACAAAACTTTTTTTCCTCAATGAACCAAAACGACTTTTCTGACAATTTTACAATTCGGGCATTAACATTTCTTAAAGAAATATGGGTTTCTTGTATGGCAGAACTTTTTTTTACGAATTTTGAATGTTTTGTATTTTTTTGAAGGTTTTTTGACAGGTAGTGGTTTTTTATATCCGGTACTCAAACGGTAAGCACAAAGTGAGTGTATGTAACGCACAGAAGGAAACGTTTCCGACCCCACAAAGTATATATATTCTTGATCAGCATCACTAGCCGAGTCAATAGAGCCATCTCTGTCTGTCCGTCCGTCTGTCCATCCGTCTTGCTGAGCGCCTGGATCTCAGAGACCATAAAAGGTAGAGCCACCAAATTTTGCATCCACACTTCTGTATGCTCACACTGTTATAAGTGCATTTCAAAAATGAGCCACGCCTACAATTTTGAAGATAAAAGAATCTATCAGATCACCAAATTGGGATCCGATCGGATTATTATTATAGCCACAATGGAGAAATTAATTTCCAGTGGCTAAACCCACCCTGTCCCGCAGCTTTTGTTGCTCTTCTTACATTCTCTCATTCACACTCTGCTTCTGCTTCACTCGGCCCCTGCCTCTGCCCTCCCCCTGCCGATGCCTCTTCCGACTTTTAACCTACCCCGTCCCGCAGCTTATATTTGTTTGTGCGGGCGCTGCCTCTGCCGCGAGTCTGCAGTGTGTGGGTCTAGGGAAGGGCGGCGAGCTACAGGAGCGTGTTGGTGTGAGAAGTGTTGTAGATGTAGATGACAGATATAGAAAAAATGTAAAATTTGACAAATNTGCTTGCAAATGATGCCTGCCAAGTATTTACGCGTGTAGAGATATCTTCTTTCGAATATTTTAATATATCCCATACATAAATACAAGCAATTGTAATGTTAACATCTCTGCAAACAGCAATTATAGTTACTTAATATTTAAAATTTTTCTTATTTAATTGATTTTGGGATGGGGTTTCAGCTTCTGCCGATTATTCTTTCACGAAGTTTATGTCCATCACAAGACAAGAGGTCAAGGGGCAAGTAGGGGCGGATTTCTTGTATGTTCATATGAATGTATGTATGTATGTACATATGGATGTATGTATGTACATATGTATGTATGTATGTACATATGTATGTATGTATTTATTATACATATTTATATATATTATTTATATTTATATATTTTATATATATTTATATCTTAACAGTTTCTATTGTTGTCTACTCGACAAAACAAAACTTTTTTTCCTCAATGAACCAAAACGACTTTTCTGACAATTTTACAATTCGGGCATTAACATTTCTTAAAGAAATATGGGTTTCTTGTATGGCAGAACTTTTTTTTACGAATTTTGAATGTTTTGTATTTTTTTGAAGGTTTTTTGACAGGTAGTGGTTTTTTATATCCGGTACTCAAACGGTAAGCACAAAGTGAGTGTATGTAACGCACAGAAGGAAACGTTTCCGACCCCACAAAGTATATATATTCTTGATCAGCATCACTAGCCGAGTCAATAGAGCCATGTCTGAAGATAAAAGAAAACTGAAAACGCCATTCCGTAGGGAATGACCATATCTATCAGATCACCGGGGATCTTATTGGGGAGGGGCGAGCTTTAGGAGCGTGTTGGCGTGAGAAGTGTTGTAGATGTAGATGACAGATGAAGAAAAAATGCAACATTTTACAAAAAAACCGCTAAGGTACAGATGTAGTACTGAGTACCGGGTATAATAGTTGTGACGCGTAATAAGCGTCTCACACGTCCCTTCTCGTTTTGACATAACTTAAGTATCTTAGATCTGGTTGTATTTTAAAATCAGCTAAATGATGCAGCTAAGAAGTGGAACTAAACACTTTGTGGTTTTAGCTTACCGCCTGGAAAATATTTATCTATGAAATTAAAAAATGTTGATTTTAAAAACTCATGAAAAGTCGAATAAAAACGTATTGTGTTCTCTATTTGTTTAGGTGCAGGTGCATTCATCGAGCGTCGTTTAAGGTATTGCTGATCAAAATCGAATCAAAATTACAATTTTTCTTCATCTGTCATCTAAATCACATCTCACGCTCTGTTATCTCGCCCTCCTCCCCTAGAGCCGACACTACACGAAGCAGAGTGTAAATGTGAGAATGTGCAAAAAATCGTATCGGAGTTCGGTGATCAGATACATATGGTCATTCCCTATAGAATGGCGTTTAAGTAGTTCTTGTATCTTCAAAATTGTGGCTGTGTGAGATTCTTGCCCTTTCTGGGGGCGGAGGGGGGCGGCGATCATTTTGGAAATACACTTGTAGCAGTGTGAGCATAAAGAAGTCTGGATGCAAAACTTGGTTGCCCTATCTCTTATGGTCTCTGAGTACTAGGCTCTCATAAGGACGGACAGAAGGACGGACGGACGGACAGACGGACGGACGGACAAACGAACAGACGGACGGACGGACGGACGGACAGACGGACGGACGGACAAACGAACAGACGGACGGACAGACAGAGATGGCTCAATTGACTCTGCTATTGATGCTGATCAAGAATATATATATACTTTATGGGGTCGGAAACGTTTCCTTCTGTGCGTTACAAACATCCGTTATTCCTCACAAGTACAATATACCCTATATACTCTTCATGTACCGGGTATAAAAAAAGGTAGACATGGGAAGCGGGTATTAAGCTAATTCAAAGTGCTGTTGGCCATAACCGATGCCACATCCAAAGGCTATCACAATAGCAGGGAATGTGAAGACTGAATTAGAAAAATAACTAAGGCGGCGCTCTTAGGAACTGCAGTCAATTTTGAAATTAGTTGTCGCAACTGTGTTTGTAACAACTTGTAGGCTTGAAAGGTACATAGCTGATTCTTACTTTGTTTTGTAGTGATTTGAAATTCAAAGACCTTTTAATCCTATTTGACTACATTTTTAAATTTATTCTACTATTGGTTCTTGTATGTTACTTGCTTACGAGTATTTCGTCTCAATTAAATACAAATGTATGTACGTATTCGATCATGTTTGGTTGTATTATTTTTGCGAACTTGTTTCGTAACATTTGGGGGCTATTTGTATAAGTATTCTGCCTAGAAATTCGTTCATACATATGTACACATATACATATGTATCTATGTAAATACATGTAACTTATTTCCATTTTTGTATTTGAATGGCTAGTTCAAATATTTATGTTTTGTAAAATTTGCTAGTGCAAACGCCTTACAATAAAACATAATGCGCTTAACATACATACATACTACTTTATGGTATAGCCCACGTTTCAGAGCGGGAATATATTTAAAAAATTGTTTTGATATACATACATACAGCGTGTAAGTGTTAGGTGTATTTATATATATAAATATTTATTATTTAATTTTTAACTGTAGGCATTGCTTTTATACAATTCTGTGAACTTTTTGTTTTTTTTTTTTTAATTCAAAAGAAATAAAATTGAATTTTTCGATGAAATTAATTTGAGTAAAGTTTGCTCCTTTTAAATTTTGCTTCTGTGTGTGTGGAATTTTGATTTTTATCATTTTTGCATCAAAAAAACTAGACTTCTCAAAACAAAAAGAGAGTATTTTTTGGGTTGAATTGGTGGGTACTTTTGGGTTGTACTTGGGATTACATAATGCTAAAATATTTCGATCTGCCGCAGCTCGAGACAACACATAATACATATCCATGCGTACTTGGTTTCCATCAGAATTCTTTAAATTTACAAAATTGATTTTCTTGGTTGAGTTTATGCTTCATTTGTATTGTCTGCATCTGTATCTGTTTCTGAGCTGCAGTACCTGTTTGATTTTGAATATTCGTGCGTGTCGTATGCTTATCGGTTTAATTACTAAATTCTACATCAGTCGTTTGGCACGCACGTCACGCGAATAGCGTTCATTTCGGAACAACCAAGTGAAAATGGTCACCAGGTGTTTGTGCTGGCAGGAGAATAGGCTGATTTATTTTTGGTTTAGGCTCCAGTTGGCTGCTGCTGCGGGTTTACAGGGCCTTTCCCATTCCAATGCATTGTCGTGTTTATCGTCAAGCTAAACCTCGGTGCCATCCTCGCCCTCGTCGTCAAACAGCTGACTTGTACTGCCCTGCCCCCTGCGCGTCGCCGTCACGGACATCTTCTTCTTGGGCTTCGGTGGTGGCCTTGGTGGTATCTTTGCAATCTTCGGTGAAGCGGAGTTGGCGACGCTGGAGTGAGTGGGGGACCCTGATGCCACCATCGAGGAAGAAAAACAGGTGGAGTTACCCAGGCCAGCTGCACTAATACTGGCACCCGGAATTATAGCAATCCCATGGTTTTTTCCCCCGGATAGAGACTCTGTTTCTGAGGGATACATGTGTGGTTGTTGATGCTGCCGTTGCATATGTTGCTGCTGTTGCTGGATCAGCTCGTGAATGGGTTCGTAGATCTTGGTCCCATTCGCCGCAGAGACCACTGACGTAAGACTGGGAGTGGCGGGAAGGGGACGATCGCGCATCGAGTACAACTGCTGTGCTCCCTGGGCTCCAAGAGCCTTGGGTAGATTCAGCGTGGAGTTCCCCCCGGCAGTGGTGCGTAGCCCTAGGTTGTCATAGACGGGCTCGGCCTGCAGCTCCGCTGTGGTCTCTGTTCCCGTCTNTGTTTCTGAGCTGCAGTACCTGTTTGATTTTGAATATTCGTGCGTGTCGTATGCTTATCGGTTTAATTACTAAATTCTACATCAGTCGTTTGGCACGCACGTCACGCGAATAGCGTTCGTTTCGGAACAACCAAGTGAAAATGGTCACCAGGTGTTTGTGCTGGCAGGAGAATAGGCTGATTTCTTTTTGGTTTAGGCTCCAGTTGGCTGCTGCTGCGGGTTTACAGGGCCTTTCCCATTCCAATGCATTGTCGTGTTTATCGTCAAGCTAAACCTCGGTGCCATCCTCGCCCTCGTCGTCAAACAGCTGACTTGTACTGCCCTGCCCCCTGCGCGTCGCCGTCACGGACATCTTCTTCTTGGGCTTCGGTGGTGGCCTTGGTGGTATCTTTGCAATCTTCGGTGAAGCGGAGTTGGCGACGCTGGAGTGAGTGGGGGACCCTGATGCCACCATCGAGGAAGAAAAACAGGTGGAGTTACCCAGGCCAGCTGCACTAATACTGGCACCCGGAATTATAGCAATCCCATGGTTTTTTCCCCCGGATAGAGACTCTGTTTCTGAGGGATACATGTGTGGTTGTTGATGCTGCCGTTGCATATGTTGCTGCTGTTGCTGGATCAGCTCGTGAATGGGTTCGTAGATCTTGGCCCCATTCGCCGCAGAGACCACTGACGTAAGACTGGGAGTGGCGGGAAGGGGACGATCGCGCATCGAGTACAACTGCTGTGCTCCCTGGGCTCCAAGAGCCTTGGGTAGATTCAGCGTGGAGTTCCCCCCGGCAGTGGTGCGTAGCCCTAGGTTGTCATAGACGGGCTCGGCCTGCAGCTCCGCTGTGGTCTCTGTTCCCGTCTCGCTCGGGTTGGGCGAAGTAGGCGACTGAAAGTCGCTAAGCTGTGTTCCAGGGTATGTTGATGCTCCCGACGTGCTGGGAGCCCAACTGGGAATACGTGGCTTTCGCGGAATGGTCATGTATCCCTGTTTCATTACCACGGCCGTGGTCGGCGAGTATACTACAGGGGCTGGAAGGAACGGGGACGCAGCGGCCTGCTGGTGGTGAAGAGCGGCAGCTATTTGCTGGTGCTGCCGCGAGTTGTTGGAAGCAATTAGCGCCAGGTTACGTGCCTTGGGATGCTGCAGCGTCATGAAGCCGTTTGTGGCCGCCGATATGGTGGTAGTTCCGTAGATGCCGTGCGGCGTCATGTGTGCGTATACGGGGCTAGCTAGTGGTGCCGAGCGTATTCCGTAAAGGAATTGATCCGGTGTGTTGGACTGGGATGACTGCATGGAAGGGGAGGTGGGTGGAACGCGGGCCGGGAAAGATAGCAGATCCGGAGGCAGACTGTTGCCATAGGCGTCGTCTACGTAGGTGTGCCTGGAGCGGGGAGTGGCCGTCTTGTCCGACAATGTCACCGAATGCGTCTCATCTTCTTGCAAACGATTTGATACTAGAAGAATATAGAATATGTTATATTTTTCTTCAGCAGATTTTGTTAATTATTTGAATATCTTATGAGCAACGCGTATTTCATCCTTTTTTCGTAAAACTTTCTCGTAAAACTTGTTTAAGCTTTTTTTTTACCAATTACAAAATAGTTAATTAAGTTAAATACAAAGCTTTTTATACCCGGTATTCTAAGGGAAAATGTGCACAAAGTGGATGTATGTAACACACAGAAGGAAACGTTTCCGACCCCATAAGATATATATATATTCTTGATTAGCCACCAATAGCCGAGTCGATTGAGCCATGTCTGTCTGTCGGTCTGTCCGTCCGTCTTGTTTGTCGGCTAGTTCTCAGAGACTATAAGAGCTAGAGCCAAAAAATTTTGGCTCCAGACTGAATGCTCACACTGAAAATAGTGTATTTCCAAAATTTGCCCGCCCCCTCGCCCTCGCAAAAGGGCGAACCCCTTCCAAACCTATAGTTTTGAAGATAAAAGAAAACTTAGAGAGCCATTCCGTTGGGAATGCCCATATCTATCAGATCACCAATTGGAGTCCGATTGGATCATTATTATAGCCACAATGAAGAAATCAATTTGCAGTGGCTAAACCCACCCTGTCCCTCTGCTTTTGTTGTTTTTTTCACATTCTCTCATTCACACTCTGCTTCTGCAGTGTGTGGCTTCTGCCTCTGCCGCGTCTCTGCTTCTGCCGTGGATCTGCAGTGTGAGGCTCTAGGGGAGGGGGGCTAGCGAAAATATCGTGTTGGCGTGAGAAGTTATGTAGATGTAGATGAAGATGTGAGGCGTAGAAAAAATGTAAAATGTCAAATGTATAATTCGAAAAAAACAATATGGCACAGGTACATTGACTGAGTAACGTCCACCACATGGAACGAACAACAGGCAATGTGTAATGACAGTATTCACCAGCACCAATGCTACTCAAGAGAATAAAATGTCTTTTAAATTTAAAGTTTAATTTTTACATTTAAGCAAACAGTTGTGAATGATGCACAACAATACCGCCAACGCACAGCCGAAAAGAGGTGGCAAGGTGGAATAATTTGTGGGCCCTTTGGATATCAATTGTAAAGAAGCGTACGCTCCCCACATTTTTTTGTAACGGGACTGAGGAGCCACCGACTCCGAAGCTGAGCCGGCAGAGGACCGACGGAGAGAACAGGGAACGCCGGCAGAAAACGAGCAGAACAGAATCCAAGAGACCGGCTGGAAACGGGAGTACAAAAATTGGATGGCGAGAGCAGTAGTAGACGTGAGTAGACGTGTCCGCGGACAAATAAAAGCGAAGGTTAAAAAAGTGCAGTGCACCATGTGTGATCGAGGAACCAAGAGGAAGCAAGCGGAATAAGGCGGCTGGCTATAAGGACTCACAACGGACACATCGAAATCTTGTGTGCGACTACTAACTACTCGTTGTGAAGCTACGTTTGAAGTTTGTCTGACAATTTCGAGACACTTGCCAGTACGCTTAAAGCTTCACTTATGCTGGAAATCGCTGGTATAAGTGGAACCATGCCTCCTCATTCTACGTTTGTTCTAGAAAACACAATAGCTGCTTTTGCCGGTCATGCCTCGTCATAGGCCAGCATAATCTCTACTTCCAATACAGTTGCCAACATTTAGCGGAGGATATGCGGATTGGACCGACTTGTTTACCACTATTATCGACAATCATCCTGACCATGCGAACATAGAGGATCAGCATCTGCGTTATCGTCTGCGTGATACGGCATTAAAGACCAGGGACCGTAATAATTATAAGCTATATTTTAAAAATCATTCAATAATAATTTTGATTAAATGAGTGAGACGCTTCTTAAGCGTCACAACTTTTATACCCGGTACTCAGTACAACACCTTAGCGGTTTTTATAAAATTGTTTCTTTACCTTTTCATCTACATCTACAACACTTCTCACGCCAACACGCTCCTAAAGCTCGCCCCCCCCCCCCCCCCCCCCCCCCCCCCCCCCCCCCCCCCCCCCCCCCCCCCCTCCCAACGAGCCGCACACTGCAGATCCACGGCAGAAGCAGAGTGTGAATGAGGGAATGTGCAAAAAAAAAACAGAAAAAAAATGCTGTGGGAGGGGGTGGGATATTGTATCTATCTTGTATCTTCAAAATTGTAGCTGTGGGAGATTTTCGCCCTTTTGGGCGGAATTGGGGCTAATTTTTGAAATACACTGGTTTCAGTGTGAGCATACAGCCGTCTGGAGGAAATTTGGTGGCACTAGCTCTTATAGTCTTTGAGAACTAGCCGACAAACAAGAAGGACAGACGGACATGGCTCAATCGATTCGGCTATTGATGCTGCAAAGGAATTTATATACTCTATGGGGTCGGAAACGTTTTCTTCTCTGCGTTGCATACATCCACTTTGTGCACAAATACAATATGAGATATTTACTCTTTGAGCACCGGGTATAACGAGAAGGGATGTTTGAGAGTTTTTACCCGTCACAACTTTTATACCCGGTACTCAATAGTACATACATCTGTACCTCAGTGGTTTCTTTTTATACCCAGTACTCAAAGAGTAAATAGGGTATTGTATTTGTGGGGAATAACGGATCCAATCAGATCCCAATTTGGAGATCTGATATATATGGCCATTCCCTACGGAATGGCGTTTTTAGTTTTCTTTTATTTCAAAATTGTAGATTTGGGAGATTTCCGCCATTTGCGGGGGCGGAGCTAATTTTTGGAATACACTGGTTTCAGTGTGAGCATTAATCAGATCAGGGCTCGGCACCCATACAATTAACGAGCCGTTATTGCGTTTGTGTGTGAAGACACACGCAAAACGGAAGATTTCCCTATATTGGTATTGGTAGGAATCACTGTAATACGAGTGTACGTGAGCGGCAGCACAGCAGCAGCGCCTTATCCTAGCCGACAAACAAGACTATTAAAAGTGTATATCAAACATGAGCCCCGCCCCCGCAAAAGGACCAAACCTACAATTTAAAGATTAAAGAAAACTAAACATTCCGTATGGAAGAATCATATCTATCAGATCACCGAATTGGGATCAGATTGGATCATTATTATAGCCAGAATGAAGAAAGTAACTTTCAGTGGCTAAACCCACCCCGTCCCGCAGCTTTAATTTGTTTTTTGCACATTCTCTCATTCCCACTCTGCTTCTGCAATGTGCGGCCTCTGCCTCTGCAGTGTGCAGTTCTAGGGGAGGGGGGCGAGCTAAAGGAGCGTGTTGGCGTGAGAAGTAATGTAGATGTTGCTGAAAGATGTAGAAAAATGTAAAATGTAAAATTTGAAAAAAACCGTTAAGATACAGATGTTCTACTGAGCACCGGGTATTAAAGTTGTGACGCGTAAGAAGCGTCTCACACGTTCCTCTCGTAGTTTGTATACTCGTTCCTGGAAAATTAAATAGGGTATATTGTTTTTGTGGTGGGAGCAATGTGCGTGACTCACAGAAGGAATCGTTTTGCGACACCATGTGTATATTCTTGATCAGCATCAATAGCCGAATCATCCGTCTGTCTTAATGAGCGCCTGGATATCAGAGACTATAAAAGCTACAGCTACAGCAACGAAATCGAGATTGCATCGAGATAGCTGTGATATCACACTGTTGTATTTCAAAATTTCGCCACTGCATCGTGTAGAGTGTGGATCCGGGGGGAGGGTCGAATAATATTGCGTGTTAGCGGGAGGATTGGCGTAGATGCAGATATCAGATGTAGAAAAAATGTAAAATTAAAAACATTAAATTTGTTTGCTTTTAACTGTTCACTTCACAAAAAAAAAGTTCCGACTTCTGTATCCATTTAGCTATTTACGTTTCGGGTACTGGGTATAAAAAGGGTTGTGTTACATGTTACACATTAGCTGCTAGGTTTTTCTTTCATGTTACTTCGTTTGTTTCGTCTACTGATGCGACGTTGCAGCCCTCCGAACTAGTTCGGTAGGGCAACAACATTTTTGCATTTCAAAGCTGAATATTTCCCGAATGGCAAGCTAAAACAATTTGCAACCAGATCTAAGATACTTAAGTTATGTGAAAGAAAGAAAGACTTTAAATAATTCTTTAAAAAAATGTTTTGTCATAAAAATAAACCATAGTGTATTACAAAATTTGTATGCTCGATATCTATCAGAAAAAAAAGTGAGAAAAAAAATTCGATTATTTCGAGTAGTGTTATTAGTTGCTTCTATAATTCTCTAATAACGCGAATTCACAATGCGATAGCGATATGGCATATACAATTGTATAACTCTGTCACAAAATAGTATTTGTACTCACCATAAACTGTTTCGTCGAGAAGAGTCTTCTTGATCTCGTGTCCATCGTCGCCGCCGTCAACGTTCTCGACGTCAGTTCGCCTGGGTGGTTTCTCCACGGGATTTACCTCGTTTAGTAGGCTCTTTTGCATTTCCATAATAACGGAGCCTTCTAGAATAGAGCCGTTGTGGGTCTTGTCCAGCTTTGAGGAAATCAGGCCATCCACACTAATCATGGTGGTGTCCTTTTGGTAGGTTTTAACACGTCGACAGTACCAAAACAGAGTCAGCACAACGATGATTAGCAGAAAGAGCAGAGTGGTTGTGATCAGGCAGATTATCAGAAACACATTGGTCTGGGGATCGCTGGTTGAGGCGCCAATAGCGCCGCTCATGCCTAGACCGCCAAAGCCGTCAGAAGCGGAAGCCGCTCCAACATAGTCGCCATCAACCAGAAGCTGGAACTCGGCCTCCGCCTTTCCACCTTTATTATCAGCAACACAGATATAGGAGCCTTTATCGGATGCACGCACGCCGAAGATGCGCAGCTCGGAAGTCATAACCTGTGATATCTGCTGGAGGGGCAGCTGTTCCAGTGAGTTCAGCACTTGGATTCGGTGATCATTGAGGTTGAGGGGTCGCTTGTTATATATCCAGGTGACGTTTGGGTGCGGGGAGCCCATTATTCGACAGGGCAGAGTTATGTTGTCCTGGTTGGCTTCGAAGAAGGAGCGAATCGTGCCGAGGATGCGAGGCCTGCAGGCGAAGTTTTCTGAGGGCACATCGCTCCACAGTTTTCCGCGTAGCTGAGGCGGATCCAGGCAGTTGGTTGGGGGGGTGTAGAGGCGCTTAGAGATGGCGTAATCGCGAAAAGCCTGCAGCTCGCAACTGCAGTTCCACACGTTGCCCTGCAGTGATAGGTGCATGAGCTTTTGCAGGTCCTTGAAAGTCTCCATGTGCAGATGTGTTAGCTGGTTTTGCTCCAGCGAGATGGCGCTGATTGGTAGGGAACCCACGAAAACGTTAAGCTGCACCTGCTTAAGGCGGTTGTTACGAAACTCGACCCGCGACAGGTAACTAAGGTTGACGAACAAGTGATTTCGCATGACCTCGATCTCGTTATTGTTCATGATCACGTTTCGCAATTTCTCAAGTCCGGCAAAGGTACCAGGATGCAGCTCCCGAATGCGGTTGCTCGAAATGTCTAGCTCGATCAGAATGTGTAGACCCTTGAACGCCTCACGATGCACCTCCTGAATGGTGCAATTGCGCAGGTACACCTTGTGGAGATTCGGAAGCCCCGCCAGAAGAAACTCTTCGCGACGCAGCTCTGGAATTTGGTTGTGGGCGAAGTCCACTACCTGCATTTCGTTGCTCATGTCCTGCGGTATTTTGGCCAGCGACTTATTTTTACAATCGGCGCTTTTCTTACCCGAATTCCAGTGGCAGTGGCAATTGCTGCAACTCTGCATCCAGTCCATGTGTCCCACAGCCTCGTGCGCTAGGGACAGCAGCACCAGGAACAGCGTCATTACTCCTGCGCATATCCTTCCGCATGTCACCGATTGCTGACTTCGCCTTCTCAGTCCTGGGTGATGCCGTTGTCGGACTGTCATTATTGCTGACGACTGGAACTGACCTCAATAATCGCACTTTAATTCCACAGTGTTCTAATTCTTATTTATTCACTTCTCCTCGCTATTAGTGTCAGCGTTTCACGTACTTTATTTAAATGCCACCCTCCCACTCCTGTTAATCGTTCTTTACCTTTCAATACTTTCCAAAAATTGTGTTATGGTTGTTGTTCTAGCGTCTTGCAGTTTCCTCCTGAAAAAAAACACGCAAAAAAGTTCTTTGATTAATAAGGATTTCGAAAGGGATGGGCGGGGGATTCTGTGCTCAAAGGTCGCTTAAAGTGACTCATTAACAAATGGCGGAAGAGCTCTGGCTGAAAGAAAGGTATTATTTTTTCCCGGTTCGAACCAAAACTACTTTTTCTGATAGAGTGAGGGCTTTCAATTTTTTTTAAGATTTTTTTTTTCTATGAAAGATACCTTATACAATGCCTAATTCATGCAGCTATTCAAAAAAAAAACGAGAAGGGACGTGTGAGACGCTTCTTACGCGTCACAACTTTTATACCCGGCACTCAGGACTACATCTAGATGTAGAAGACATCGCCAACCACTAGATATCGTTCACATTACAGAACACGTAGTAAAAAGCCTACTAAATAAAATGCATACAAAAAATTGGATCAGTTAATTTTCCAAGTATTTTCCAATTTATGAGATATTTAAAACAGCAATAAAATTGGTACTTTTCCCCTGCACATTCTGTGCAATAATGACCGCTAGGTTTCACAGCAGATTTTTCGAAAGTGGCGCCATCTATGAACATTTCTTGTACGCAACTTTGATGGTCACTCTTTTTCTAATACAGAGCGTTAAAAACCGTGTCTTGGTGTTAACTTTTAAAAATTAGCTTTTTGCCACTGTTTCCGCAACTCCTCGCAACCAGTTCAGAATCAAAATCTCGAAATAAAAAGCCAAGTGCTGCTGTTCGACCGAGTCGGTATTCAAATCAATTTAATCTCTTCTTCTTTTCAATTTCGATATTCACATATTAAATGCATGTTCTTCCTCTTTCTCTATCGTATTCACATATTACATGTATGTTCTATAGCAACAAACTTCTGTGAGTATGTAGTAAATGCAACAATTCAATAGCTTAATACTACAAATTCATTTTACTTATACAAAATACTAATTGCTCCCGGCCAAAAGCCCTTTGCGCTAATTTGGCGTAAACAGCCACCAAAACTGGTCATTGGGACAATAGTGCATCTGCACCTCAGCGGTGTTTTGTCAAATTTTATATTTTCTCTTCATCTGTCATCTACATCTACAACACTTCTAACACCAACACGCTCGCCGCTCTTCCCTAGACCCACATACTGCTGACTTGCGGCAGAGGCAGCGCCCTCACAAAAAAAAAAACAAATATAAGCTGTGGGACGGGGTGGGTTAAAAGTCGGAAGAGTCATCGCCAGGGGGAGGGCAGAGGCAGGGGCCGAGTGAAGCAGAAGCAGAGTGTGAATAAGAGAATGTAAAAAGAGCAGCAAAAGCTGCGGGACAGGGTGGGTTTAGCCACTGGAAATTAATTTCTCCACTGTGGCTATAATAATGATCCGATCGGATCCCAATTTGATGATCTGATATATATGGCCATTCCCTGCACGAGAATGTCCCTTCCATTCCCAATTCCCATTCCATTTCCCTTCCATTCCCAAAACTGTAGGTTTGGGAGGTTTTCGCCCTTTTGCGGAGGCGGAAGGGGGCGGGGCTAATTTTTGAAATACACTGGTTTCAGTGCGAGCATACAGCAGTCCGGAGCCAAAATTTGGTGACTCTAGCTCTTATAGTCTCTGAAAACTAGCCGACAAACAAGACGGACAGACGGACAGATAGACATGGCTCTATCGACTCGGCTATTGATGCTGATCAAGAATATATATACTTTATGGGGTCGGAAACGCTTCCTTCTGTGCGTTACATACAACCGTAATTCGCACAAATACAATATACCCTATTTACTCTTTGAGTACGGGGTATAAAAACTGAAATACAAAACCATCTTTGTGGCACTCTGCCCATTCTGCGGTTTCAGTAGGAACAACAAGGATGGAGATTGAGATAGGATGTGGCTAAGGTTGCTGGGGGGAAATCCAAGAAGTCCATGCTGGATGCAGGGTCGTTGCCTCAGAGCCTGACTACGTCGAGAAGCTGGGTGGGGAGCACTTGCTCGCCTTTGACGGCTGGGTTTGATTGATCCAAGAAGGCATTGCCTGAGTGGCAGCTGTAGTGCGGCATAGCGGTCAAAGTCAAAGTCAATGCCCATGAAAATTGTGGCTGAATTATTATGCGTTAAGGAAATAGATTTACTCGAAAGGTTGTTGAGTGTTTTAGGTGGGCGATGAGTGTATATATGTATGTTCATATACCCCATTCATTATACCCGGTACTCGAAGAGTGAATGGGGTATATTGTATTTGTGCACAAAAGTGGATGTATGTAACATACAGAAGGAAACGTTTCCGACCTAATAAAGTATATTTATTCTCGATCAGAATCAATAGCCGAGTCGATAGAGCCATGTCTGTCTTTCCATCTGTCTGTCTTGTTGAGCGCCTGGATCTCAGAGACTATAAAAGCTAGAGCCACCAAATTTTGCTTTCAGATGGCTGTATGCTCAGACTGTTACAAGTGTATTTAAAAATTTCGCCACCGCAAATGTCGAAAATCTGCGAAAATAACACTAATCGATAGCTCAGATGCTGGCTGCCCTCTAGCCGCAGCGCTCAAACGTCGTAGATCGCGAGAGTGAGCGAGAGCGCCGAGAGCCAACGCACCCGCTGTTAGCAACAGCCCGCTGCTAACTCTCTGATCACACTGCTGCCACTTTTAACAAAGAGAGAAGGAGCGGGAGCAGCGTACCCATATCAGCTGTCACTCAAATGTCAAACAGTTGAAGCGGAAGTTGGGCAGGACACCACAACCACTACACCACGTGGGAGCGACATAAACTAGACAAGTCAAAAAGTATTCTTTTGATTGATTCGAGTCAATTGAGCTTTGTAAGCGGGTAGAGTCCGTACATTTCGATCACTCTCCGATCATGGGGCATTAAAATGGTCAATAAATTAGCGACTATCTTGGTTATATTCTCTCCGACTGAGCTATAATTTTCTACACATCCTCGATCTTGCTGTCTCGTGCTGCAGTGAGCTTTTAACAGCAGTACGATCGGCTTCTAGCCAAATAGTCTCAATTAAGCGGTTCTAAACTGCTGAGTGAGTCTGCTAGTCGCAAAAAAGTCACTCCGCGGGATCTGCAAGTGCCTAATCAACCGTCTCCGCCCACTCCGATAGTGCAACACCTAATTTGCCACCCCAAGGGCAACGACAGCTGCAGGTGATCCAGTTTCGGCTACAGAATCGATCATATTGGAGAACATGCAGCCATTTACGACTGTAGCGTCTGTTTCCGTCAAATCCACGCCAATGCCTTTATCTTTTCCTTATATTTCGATCCCACCACCCAATAAACGTCCAAAGCCACCGGATATTGCATGACAGGTACCAGATCTGTGAATCCAAAACCACTGGTGGGGGCCCACCAAAGCGGAACATTTTTTTCTCTTGGCTTACCCCTGACCTCACATCAAATGAGTTAACTGCTTTCATACCAAACAAAATAAAATCCGACGGCTTAAGGGTGGAAAAGATTTAAATTCAGGTATGCCAAAGAGGATAGCTTCTTTAAAATGAGCTGTTCGCCGACTCACTTCGAGGCCATGTGCTTTAATTCCCTGGGTCGATTGCTTGATCTGTGCTTTGTCTCGGATCTAACCGTGGCGTTGTTAACACGAGCACTTCCGCTCACTATACCTGAAGATTGCCATAATCCTACTTTCGAAGTGTCGGTAGATATTGGACCTACTCTATCGGATCGGGCAGGTAGGCTATCTGGACGCGCCTACTGCTTCTGCAAAGCCGAGTTTACGAAGCTCAATAATTTAATTATGATTTTGGCACAAACATTTATTACAATGTACTTGTCACAATGTTTGACTTGTGTCTAACTCTCGTGTCCGAATAGATCTGGAAAGCCTCCTCGGTTCACCAAAGAGTTAAAAAATCTCAAGAAGTTGGTTCTCCTTCTCCTCTTTCTAGTTACTTAAGAGCTATGTCAAATTTCTACCTCCTTCGATGCAGGATACGCTTTTCACAGGACCCTAAACAGATTTACAGCTTTGTAAACAGTAAGCAGTAAACAGTAAGAACGTCCGCACATCCATCCTCGTCATCATTTTTGAATATGTCGGCAAACAATGATCAGGCAATCGCCGATCTTTTTGCACCATTTTTTCAAACCACCTATTCCCAGGAAAGCTACTAAGGTCATGTGTATCCATATAGTTTACCAAGGTCGAACGGCATTTTCTACCCTTTGTTAAATGAAAGATCAATACTCCATGATCTTCCATTGGTTAACCCGGTATTTTCCCCGGGTCCTTACGGAGTTCCCGGCTGTGTACTCAGGTTCTGTGCCGAGTCTCTGTGCGGACCCTTGCTTAAACTATTCACTCTACCCACCCATCCTCCTCTCCATAAGAAAGGTAGCAAGTCGCTCTTACTAAAATGTTTGAGGAAATGTTAACTTCGCACTTGCAACATCTCTGCAAATCACTTATATCTATAGCCTAGCACAGATTCATATCAACAACCAATAATCTTTTAGAGTTCACCACCTTTGTCATTAAAGGCTTCCAAGGTAACTTGAAGGCGGGTGTTATTTGCACTGATTTCAATAATGCATTCGATTCTGTAAGCCACTCCCTTTTTGGACAAGCTTAAGATCTTTAAGGGTTTCTGCCAAATCTTTTAAGATGGATATCCAGCTACACACTTTGTTACACTTCTTGATAAAGCCCACTCTTCACGTTCACTTTTGGTTACTTTTTGAGTACCATAGGCCAGCAGAAATTTAGTTCCTTTATCTTTTCACACTCTTAATTAATTACCCCTGCCTTGCACATTAACAAACTCTCGGTGCTCATGTACACATGTATGTATACGGATAATGTTCAGCTCTGGTTTTAGTTTAAGGCAGGGCTCGGCACATTCAATTAACGAGCCGGTTTTTTTTTGTGTTCCGAAGGAATCTTTGCATAGCACATCCGTTTCACGTATTAAGAACCGTTCCATGAGCATGCATAGAACAGAGCTCTTAAAGAAGGCGAAAAGAAACGACATCCATACATAC